CATCGCCACACCTACTCTCCAAACCCATTATCTTGAAAAAGTTGGAGAGCGGTCAGAACGCGGTTGGAGAGAGCGCTCCTGAACTTTTCGGGAGTTTACCCCTACCTTCTTCCCCTGAACATAACCTGTCTCTTATACACATCTAGATGTGTATAAGAGACAGCCATCGCTGAGCTCAGTGGAAGTCGTCGACGATTATCCGCACTTCGCCATGCAAATATGAGCGATCGACGAAAAGTGGATCAGCGTGGACGATGTACCTCGTCGGCTCGTGGAGATGGCCTGCAAACCCTATCGCCACATTGGACACCAGCAGGTTGATGATGTCCGCCAATACGTCTGAACCACCGACCCAACGATCGGGGATGGTCGTGCCCACCTTCTGCGGGAAAATGACAACCTGCCGCAGGAGTCGTCTACCATATCCGTACCCGACTGTGAGATGGAGGCATGTGTCTCCATCCTCGTCGACCTCGTAATGGGGGACTCCGTGTTTCGTCACCCCGTTCTCGAAACCGAAATCCCTGCCGTAGTCGTTCCCGTGGCGGTGCCGCATCTCGTAGAAGATCATGGAGCGACCCTGAACCCGCCCCCTTAATGCCACGTCAACCTCCACCTTCAACCCCCCCCCCCCCCCCCCCCCCCCCCTCTTCCACCACCACCGCCACCAACTCTCCTCGCGTGCGCTTGGTGTGAACTCCACACACCGCACTTCAGGAAGCCGTTCCACCCCTCCACCCCCCGCTCGCCGCCTGCACTCCACACAACGCACAATCTGTACCGCCTCTCACCCGCACACATCGAGGGAGTTACTCTGTTCACATCACTGTGGATCGTCAACGTAATCGACGTTTTTATATTTGAAAACCGTTAGGATGTCGTCGTTGATGTTCGCCAATGCCGTGCCAAATCCGGCTCGACGGCGTGCTCCCATCAGAGGACGGACGCCTGACCACCCCTGTGCAAGACAACTGTGGATAAAGGGACAAGAGGTGGGCCTGAAAAAACGGCAGAGATAGCGGGCGAGGGTAGTTCGCTTATACACATCTAGATGTGTATAAGAGACAGGCCAAACGCATTCCCAAGGGGTCCCATACGTTCGGGCGTTCGGGTTCGGG